TATATATATATATATATATATATATATATATATATATATGTATATATGTGTGTGTGTGTATAGTTATGTATTTAGCTTGATTTTTATCAGATTTGGCAATAACATGTACAGAAACAAATAACAGATTCTGTGAACGTTTTCACTGAATGCCTTTTATTACAAGGAATCAAGTTCCCAAAGCCCACTGAAAATCACAGAACATAGAATCACCTAAACAGATGTAATAACCACCAAAAACCAAAAAACTATTAGGTGGGTGGCTCTGGTAAGCTTTAGTTCCAAGTTAAAAATCTAAGTTATATACTGAGTATGTATTTATCTAATCTTTTATTCAACAAAACTTCACTGAGTTTTTGTTTCAAGAATACCTTGATGTTTATAAACTTTGAAGACCTTTAAAAGTTTTAAACAAACAAATATCCCAAATCATGATTTTTGATCTACTTCAAGAATCTGCTTGGAGATCACTTGTATCTTGTGGCCGTAGAATATCTTCAACGTTCATAACTTAAAGAACCACTTCTACGTTCTAATCATCAAATAATACCCACTCTGGAAACAACACTGCTCAAAATGATGGATCCAAGGGCACATATTTTGGCTAAATAAGCTCCTTCTTAGACTTCCGTACTTGGTCCACCATTCCTGTTATTTCTAGGTTGGGAAGGTTGCTGGTTAGATCTAGGAGAGCTAGTAGAAATGTCACTACTTCGGCTACCTAGTAGAGAAAAATAAAACCTCTGAAGGTTCTCCAGGCAGCTGTTAAGTTCTAGACAAAGCCACCATTACCACATTATGTAAAGTAACTAGTAAAGAAAAAATACAACCACTGAAGGTTCTCCAGGCAGCTGTTAAGTTCTAGACAAAGCCACCATTATCACATTATGTAAAGTAACTAGTAAAGAAAAAATACAACCACTGAAAATCCTATTCTTCAAGGTGTGATTGAGCTGACAATACCTACTGGCTAAGCTATTTATCAGATAAGACATTCTCTCTCTCTCTCTTTCTTTTTTCTTAACAGTCAGTTCACCTTACTAGTCTACTTGAAGCTGTACAAATAAATAAACTTGAATGCTAATAAATTGTGATTAGTATTATAACTATACAAGACTTGACACATTAAAATTACACAAAACAAAAGGTAATCCCGCGAGATATCAGAAACTTATCTCACCAATACAAAATGACATGAACAATCAAATGACCATTGCATTATATTAGCCAAGCCTTTCTCTTGTTCTTATATTCCTTCATCGGAGTTCAACAAACTTTGGTCTACTCCGGAGCCTTCAGCCTTCAAGGACCAGAACTGGTGAAGTTTGGAGAATTGAGTTTTTTCTGTATTAGTAAACAGTAATATTTAGTTCAATCCTATTATTGAGGATTTATATGATGACAACACTTACCAAAAACTATGACAGACTACTCGGGAATATTTTAAATATGTCCACTAGAGAGCTCTACTTAAGCTGTATCTAGAGTGGTACAATATTAGGATCTAAAACAAGGCTTGCTGCAAAAAAAATGGAAAAGGTATTGCTAGTTCATGGAAAATACTGAACTCTCACCTGGCCTAAAGTCGGGAGGTAAATCTCTTCGAAGCATTGGAGGGGGCCTCATGTGTAAGGATCCTAGAGGAGGAGGAAATGGAGGGAGTATTCTATGGAGTGGAGGAATATCGTGGAACTTTGGGAGTGGGTGAGGAGGAGAAGAACTTCGAGAATCTCGATAAGGAGGAGGAGAGAACCTGTCCGATGTGGATCTCTGATCACTATCTCGGGGTGGTGTGGAATGTCTGTCTATTTCTCTCTCCCGGTCACGTCTATACAAAGGAGGACTGTATGGACCTCTGGGTGATGTCATGCTACGTTCCCGGTCGTAAGAGGGCGAGAACCTTCTGTCATAAGGTGGAGGTGCAGTAAATCTCATAGGATCGGGGAGAAAGTGAGGAGGTGGAAGGCGGTCATCAAAGGGAAGTCTAGGAAAGAAATGTGGACGAAGCATAGGGTCCAGTGGGTGTAGAGGAGGAGGAGGGATTGGTCGATCTAGAGGCAAAGGTAAGCGAGGGAGAGGAGGATTGTCTATACAAGGAGGGATACTTAAGGGACGAGGACCAGGTTCAGCATCTAAACTATTTTGGGTTAAGCTCTGGGAGACAGGAGGAGAGTCAAGCTCCCCATTAGGTCCAACCAGCCCTGAAAAAATAAAACACTTGGGTAACTAGCTTAGGTAACGAAATTGGAACAGCTATAGCAAAGGTATACATATTCTAATATTACAAAATTCTTTAAAAAAAAGAAATTACATTGTAAAGAGTTAACTGTGTTTAATTTAACCCAAAATCTAGCATTACTACACTGTAACACAAATAGCCAATCTTAACTAACATAATGCAGTATATAAACTTTTGTTGGTAAATGTTCTACTGTTGAGTTGAATTCTAGATATTCCTGGTTCAAATATTACGGATTATAAAAATGAACTTTTTCAAAGATTCTACAACTTTTTGTTTCAAATAATGATATATCACAACAAACCCTGCCTTTTCTCTTATGTTAGTTCTTGAGCACAGTTCTACTTATCAAAAGAAATATCCTGGAGTTTTACATATTACTCACGTGAACATTATTTTACAAATCATCTTAAAAACTGGCAAAAACTTCTAATAATCATAACAAACAATAAAAAAGAGGTTCAATAAGAAAACATTACTTATAGTTCCTTGGATTGTACCAATTAAATACTAAAAAATAACTACTATAACCACACTGTCACATATGCAGTGGTACCCTGCATACAGTACTTATTCCCCCACCCCTGAAATATGCTGTGGCCACACTGTCACACATATAATGGTGCCCTGCATAAAGTCTCTGATCCTCCCTGAAATGTGATGTGGCCACATTGCTACACATACAATGGTGCCCTGCATAAAGTATCTGATCCTCCCAGAAATGTGATGTGGCCACATTGCTACACATACAATGGTGCCCTGCATAAAGTATCTGATCCTCCCTGAAATGTGATGTGGCCACATTGCTACACATACAATGGTGCCCTGCATAAAGTATCTGATCCTCCCTGAAATGTGATGTGGCCACATTGCTACACATACAATGGTGCCCTGCATAAAGTATCTGATCCTCCCTGAAATGTGATGTGGCCACATTGCTACACATACAATGGTGCCCTGCATAAAGTATCTGATCCTCCCTGAAATGTGATGTGGCCACATTGCTACACATACAATGGTGCCCTGCAT